ACGGCTTTCATCTAAAAAAGTTGAAAATTATTCAATATGATTTTTGAACTGGCGCACGGAAGAAAATTTAGTGGTGAACAATGAAGACAATAGAGTGTTATGTCTCGGAACTATCGGTCTGATAGCTGCCCCTTGGAAATTTGATGTTCTTAAAACTAGCATATTTGCCCTCGAAGCTTCGCTTCTCGGGCAAATGCTTGTTTTAAGAACATCAAATTTCCGCGAGGCAACTATCAGCCGATAGTTCCGAAACTATTTCGAGAATGTTTACAAGTATGCGTTTTTCTAAGACTTCTAATTCAAGAGATCGTCTTCACGTGACGTGTTTTTATCCTCGTCAGGCATAAGAGGCGGTATATTTATATCTGTTTACAGTTAGCGTGCTTCGTTTGGAAACCAGAGAATTTTGAATTTCAGGGTTATAGAGGCTACGATCGCGTTTGTTGAAAAATATACACTTATCTCATGATTTTGAGCCTTTTTAGAAGTTAGAGCATTAGGGTTAGGAAAGGTGCTTATGTAAATGCTTGTTTATTTAGTACTGATAATCAGTCGCCTAGAAAGCCAAAGTAAGTTCCAGATGTTTACACTATATTCCGGCCGCCATATTGGTGTACCACGGATGTATACCAACATGACGTTTTCTTACTGGGCTCTGTAAACTTCTGGGAAACATTTACGACGAATGTCTGAAGTTTGGGGAAACGCACAGGCCTAAAACTTGGACAAGTGTCTTATTTAGTTATCTTCTATAGCGTACATCACAATTTCTTAGCTTTTTCCACTGGTTGGTTTTCGATTTATTATTTTATTATTTTTTTTATTGTGTGACAGTGAAAACGATCTGTACCGTTCGAAGAACAAAACAGCAACTGTGGAATATTTTTTTGTAAAATGATAAAACATGTTTTTTAGCTCATAATTTTTGTACATGTTCTCACCTTCCTCTGAAAAAAATCCATGCCATTTCTATTTTTTGNATCACCAACTAAAAATTCTAAGTTATATACAAGTTTTTGAGTTTCATAACATTTACAACTAGGACTGTCAGAAAATTTCCCCTCATAAGGATTTTATCATCTCCATTTTTCCATCCGCACTTTTCCATCCGCCATCTGGTCCTCGTTTTACAGAAGACCCGTTTTTACGTAGCCTTGCCGTTATCGTACAGTTATCGTACAGTGGGGGGTCTACAGTTGAACTAAAGTTAGTGTACTTTGAATATTTTTTGCTGTACTGTTAGGGTGTGGACAAAACGTGGAATAGGCTATGGCCTAGGCCATGGTGTAGGCCATGGCCTACCCTGTGGCCTACCCTATGGCCTACAGGTGGTCAGATTTTTAAAAACATAAACAAAACATCAGTAAGATTCGAACGAGTTAGCTGGCATAAAATTCTATCCCTCTAATAGGGGTATACTAAAAAAGTCACCAACACGAATCTCAACATCAGAGGGAACAAAACAATGCAAAACCTTGCAGCACTCAGCCTTGAAACATTCTATTTCTCGCTGTCTTCGACGTCTAGCTTCCCCAGCCAAGTAATCAACCATAACGGCAGGTTAAGAGGGAGGGGAAGGGCCCGGGGGAACTCCCATATAAAAAGAAGGGTGTGCTGGTTGGAAATTTTGGAGAGAACCCCTAAGAGAAACCAAGATCCTGTTTTGCGGGCGTGGTTTGAAATTCGTTTCTCCCCTAAGAGGTACCAATTCTTACATAAGATATTATCTCCTGTCATATTTCGCAAAAGCTCCCGCTGTGGACCTTTCGAGGCCAAACACCCTAAGAGGTACCAAAACTGCGTTTTTAACGCCTAAAAGGTATGGCAAGCACCCCTTTCATTTATACATGGGATTCCCTCCCCACCCCCCCGTGGGAAGGCCCGATATTACGTGGTCGCTGAGAATATCCAAAATGGCGGCTCCACGATCTATACCGGCTGCCAGTTTGTAACATAAGAGGGACTACTCGTAATCTAAACATATAGTGGAGTGCTAGTGTAAACATGTAATGAACAGCGTTAGTGACTGTTAGTGTTAGTGTTAGTAACTTTTCAGTATGCCCCTATTAGAGGGATACAAGAAACCACGAGGTATATAATTTTATGCCACCTTACTCATTTGACTCTTACTGATGATTTGTTTATGTTTTTAATAATCTGACCACCGGTAGCTAGGCCATAGGGTAGGCCACAGGGTAGGCCATGGCCCACACCCGTACTGCTGGGTTATTTGCCCAGTGAACATGGAATCTCTTCAACACAGTAAACTTCTCTTGAATAAGGTCAGTTGTTTGAATGTTTTTATCAGCCTTTACTTCTTTCTATTTCGGACTGTTATCTGTCATCGCCTATTCCAAAACAAAGGGAAACTTTGGGTGGCCGCTTGGAGCTAAACCCACCTATAAGCCCTGTGAGGCCGCGGAGAATACTAAAAAACATCTGGTGAGGGTCGAGGGGAAACTACATATAATAGCATACAGTGTACACCCCTATACACTCCTATGCTGCATTGTAGAGAACTATACAGTACGATACATCCTTATACAGCACTATACATCCGTCTACAACACTATACACCACTATACACCGCTAAACAGCACTATACAGCGCTATACACTCCTACACAGCGCTATACACCCCTATACAGCACTATACACCCCTAAACAGCACTATACACCCCCATACAGCACTATACACCCCTATACAGCACTA